AGTGACGTGGTGAATATTCTGAAGGGTTGTGTTGAGTGCGCCAGACGGAAACCACCGCCCGTGGCAGCTAATCCACCGCTGCAATCTATTCAGGTCTCGTGCACTAACGAGCTCGTTGCACTCGATATTCTGGGGCCTTTTCCAGTCACGCCTAGGGGTAATAAGTACCTGTTGGTGGGGGTCGAATATTTTACCCGGTGGCCTATGGCGTGGCCACTCGCCAACCAGTCGGCGGCGGCTGTGACGGACGCCTTTGTCCAGGGCTACATCCTGGACAAGGGGGCTCCCGAACGCTTGCTGACCGACCAAGGGAAAAATTTTTAGAGTAAATTACTGCAAGAGGTGTGCGACCTGTTGGGTACTAAGAAGGTGCGTACCTCCCCGTACCACCCGCAGACGGACGGGATGGTGGAGAGGCTCCACAGGACATTGACTTCTATGCTGTGCCAGCAGGTGTGTGAGGCACATGTTGATTGGGACCTGCAGGTCCCTGGGGTCCTCGCCGCGTATAGAATGGCCCCCCATGCAGCTACGGGATTTTCCCCGTTTTATCTGATGTACGGTCGGGAAGCCGACCCGCCCATGGAAACGCAGCTGGGCCTGCCCGCACCACGAACTAATTCGAAATTGGCAGAGCATATTAAATTTAATATTCATAAGCTGACAGAGGCAAGGGAGGCCGCACGGCTTAATTCGCGGGCTCGCCAAATTGCAAACGAGCGGTTGCGTGCACGGAAGGTGTCCGTGCACAACTGGGAACCAGGTGACAGGGCCTGGCTGCATTGCCCTCAGGCACCTTTGGCTACGTCGCCTAAATTGTTGAAGCCATGGCGGGGACCCGTGGAGGTCGTGCGGGTTGCACGCCCCCAGTGCGTTCAGATAAAATGGGGAAAACGCCGTTGGTACGTCCACCCCTCCCGACTGAAACCGTTCTCGCCTCCATATGGCCTCCCCTTGTGTCATGAGGGCCGAGCATGTGACGTGACCGACGACCCTAAGGGGGAAATGTCTTTGCCTGCTCCTCACATGTCTCCGCCTGATCCGCTCCCAGGTGTCTCGGAACTGACAGCTGCCGACCACCGGCGGCCGGATCTTCGCGGCGGGGCCGGTCCTTCCAGGCCCGATCCGCGCCGTCTAGAGCTGCCGGAGCCACCGGACGGTCGCCAGCGTCCCGTCCCATACGACGGACCGGCCAGACGGACTCGCGCTAGGTCGCGCTACTTTTTATGACCTACCACGTGAGGAGTCGAGGCAGCCGGAGCGCCTCGTCACTGCGTTTAGTCACAGAGACACTTGGCGCGTTCGTTTTCTGGTGTTCGCTTTTATTGTGTTGTTCGTCGGGCTGTATATTGCTTCTTATTTAAGTGTTGTGTTGTGTTGTTGTTGTTGCGTTACGGGGCACACTGGGGGGTGGAGTTTCTTTATTACTGCGTTGACGTTAGGTTGTGTTGTTGGTGAACAGCCGGGCCGGCTGCAAGCTATGTGGGAGGGGGTGATGTAGTGGTGATACGCGCTGGGATTAGGGATCGTATGCCAGCGCGTAATGATTGGCTGTGTATGTGGTGACACGCGCTGACGGTGGAGGATCAGGGGTCAGCGCGGGGTCGTGGGTTACGGGGTACTGATTGGCTGTGGGCTGGTGACGCGCTGAGAGGGAGTGACCGGGTGGCAGCGCGGTGTGATTGGTGGAGTAGTGTTAACACGCGCTGGGGAAAACGGATCGTAGAGAGAGTGCGTCGTGATTGGTTCACTAAGGAGCGATGCTCACGTCGACGTCCGCATCAGCTCCGTCTCTCGTGAGCAGGGGCTATAAAAGGGGATGCACACAGGCGTAAGGGCAGTATGTAACCAGCGAAGAATGAAGACGGGGATGAAGACATAGGGCCCTGCGGTACCTAGTCCCGCTGTCCTAACGGGACCGGGACTCTGTGTAACCCAGAGGCGAGTGTATTGTGTGTAGCCATAGGCATAGAGTCTACACGAGCTGAATGCATTGTGTGTAGCCAGAGGCATAGGGTCTACACGAGTCAAGTGTATTGTGTGTAGCCAGAGGCATAGGGTCTACACGAGTCAAGTGTGTTGTGTGTAGCCATAGGCATAGAGTCTACACGAGCCGAATGCATTGTGTGTAGCCAGAGGCATAGGGTCTACACGAGTCAAGTGTATTGTGTGTAGCCAGAAGCATAGAGTCTACACGAGTTAAGTGGAGTGTATAGTCCAAAGGATAGAGACCACCCGTTGTATTGTGACACGTCAAGATTTAATAAAAGTGTGTTACCCGTCAAGAAGTTCCTGCCGTCAATTCAAATACTACATTTATATTAAGTTCACTTGCTTGCTTGCGTGCTTGCTTGCTTACGACCGTGCAAATCTTTCGGTCGTTTTTTAACCCACTTCCCGTGATCCAATCGAGCTGACATTTTCCACACAGACTCGTTGTGCCAGACAATTATTGTTCGTGAAAAAAAATTCCCAAAATTTAACACTTTTTAGGCAAAAAAAATTATTTTACATATATTCAAATAGAACGCATTCATGGCTTTGGCTGAACGTCAGAGTGTAAGAGCCCAGAGCGTAACCCCTCCACAGGCCGTGGCGGAGTAGCGCAGTTGGTAGTGCCCTCGCTTCCCATGCCAAAGGTCGCGGGATCGATCCCCGCGTCCTCCGCAGGCGAATATATTTTTAAATCCTTAATATTAAGTTCGCTTGCTTGCTTAGGACCGTGCACATCCTTCGCTCGTTTTTAAATCCTTTATATTAAGTTCGCTTGCTTGCGTGCTTGCGTGCTTGCTTGCTTACGACCGTGCAAATCTTTCGATCGTTTTTTAACCCACTTCCCGTGATCCAATCGAACTGACATTTTGCACACAGACTCGTTGTGCGAGACAATGAATATTCATGAAATTTTTTTTCCAAAATTTTACACTGTTTAGGGAAAACAAATTAAATATTTAATTACCAATTGCTTAATACTGGCAGACAATCATCTGACCCATAGGTGGCAGCCATCTCAAGCCAGAGGAGGAGAGGACTCTAGCCACCACACATATAAAGGATTTATAGTGAAAAACTTTGTTTTTACGGGTTATACTTATTTAACCCACTTCCCGTGATCCAATCGAGTTGACATTTTCCACACAGACTCGTTGTGCCAGACAATTAATGTTCGTGAAAAAAATTCCCAACATTTTACACTTTTTAGGCAAAAAAATGTATTTTACATATATTCAAATAGAACTCATTCATGGCTTTGGCTGAACGTCACAGTATAAGAGCCCAGAGCGTAACCCCTCCACAGGCCGTGGCGAAGTAGCGCAGTTGGTAGCACCCTCGCTTCCCATGCCAAAGGTCGCGGGATCGATCCCCGCGTCCTCCACAGGCGAATATATTTTTAAATCCTTTATATTAAGTTCGCTGCCACGCATATAAAGGATTTATAGTGAAAAACTTTGTTTTTACGGGTTATACTTATTTAAATCCTTTATATTAAGTTCGCTTGCTTGCTTGCTTGCGTGCTTGCGTGCTTGCTTGCTTGCTTACGACCGTGCAAATCTTTCGGTCGTTTTTTAACCCACTTCCCGTGATCCAATCGAGCTGACATTTTGCACAAAGACTCGTTGTGCGAGACAATTAATGTTCGTCAAATTTTTTTCCCAAAATTTTACACTGTTTAGGGAAAACAAAATAAATATTTAATCACCAATTGCTTAATACTCGCAGACAATCATCTGACCCATAGGTGGCAGCCATCTCAAGCCAGAGGACGAGAGGACTCTAGCCGTCACGCATATAAAGGATTTATAGTGAAAAACTTTGTTTTTACGGGTTATACTTATTCATGAATATCCGAAGATGAAGATGGACTAAATTGATTATATGGCAGTTATTGGGATGTTGTTAAAATATTTCTTCACCTGTTATAAAGATTTGGTAGAACCGCTTTCCGCAAGAGAAATCCTTCGTCAATACTCGTTTCCAATACTAGTTATTGAACTTCGTTGTCAAAATAACTGCGACCTGATTTCTGCAGCTGAAAGTGACCTCACCGTGTTTGTTTCTGCAAGTATACAAGGGAATGCATTTGAAGCGATTGATCATCTTCATTAACATGTAAAGTAATTTTCCTGAAATCACTCCACGTGCATTTTAATCGGTTATAATGTTGCTTATCTGGATAAAAGTGCATTGGCCAGAAATCGATCTCAGGTCTCCCACGTGGCAGTCCAGAATTCTACCACTGAATCGCCTATACCACATTCCACTCGAATTTTTTTTTACCTGAGATGCATGAATACTCTTTTTATTTAATTCCTCCAAAATTGCGTTTTCTCTGTGTATATAGAATCTGACTTTTTAAATCCTTTATATTAAGTTCGCTTGCTTGCTTGCGTGCTTGCTTGCTTGCGTGCTTGCTTGCTTGCGTGCTTGCTTGCTTGCTTACGACCGTGCAAATCTTTCGGTCGTTTTTTAACCCACTTCCCGTGATCCAATCGAGCTGACATTTTCCACACAGACTCGTTGTGACAGACAATTAATGTTCGTGAAAAAAAAAATAAAAAAATGTTACACTTTTTAGACAAAAAAAATGTATTTTACATTTATTCAAATAGAACTCATTCATGGCTTTGGCTGAACGTCACAGTATAGGAGCCCAGAGCGTAACCCCTCCGCAGGCCGTGGCGGAGTAGCGCAGTTGGTAGCGCCCTCGCTTCCCATGCCAAAGGTCGCGGGATCGATCCCCGCGTCCTCCACAGGCGAATATATTTTAAATCCTTTATATTAAGTTCGCTTGCTTGCTTAGGACCGTCCAAATCTTTCGCTCGTTTTTAACCCACTTCCCGTGATCCAATCGAGCTGACATTTTCCACACAGACAATTAATTTTCGTGAAAATTTTTATCCAAAATTTTACACTGTTTAGGGAAAACAAATTAAATATTTAATTACCAATTGCTTAATACTGGCAGACAATCATCTGACCCATAGATTGCAGCCATCTCAAGCCAGAGGACGAGATGACTCTAGCCGCCACGCATATAAAGGATTTAGAGTGAAAAACTTTGTTTTTACGGGTTTACTTGTTCTTTCTGATGTCTACCGTTCAGGAATCTCGCGGTCAACTGCGAATTGTCGATCCACAGGGGTGCAATCGGAGAACTATACCTCAATGGATTTGGCGTGAATGGTCAAATGCGCGATGGGAAAACCCGCGATGGGCAAGGTTTTGGGTGTACTTTGTATCGACAACCTTACACACAAAAAAACATTGATTGGGTTTTTTTTTCAAGAGAAAAGTCACCAGATTCTTCTCTCCTCGCTGAAGGACTGTGTTCAAGTTGATAGCAATGGTGATGATTCGACACATTGGGCAGCTGAGAGTGGATTATATACTTCCGATGAGTATGATGTTTGTTATAAAAAGTGCTTTTATCAAGAGTGAATCATATAGCGAGTAGGATATAGGAACTCACTTATGAAGAAAAGAAAGGCTGTCAGAGACGGCAGAGAGCCTTGTGGAATGGCAAACTGCAGAATGACACTTTCTGAACCCATCTATCTCAGCCTACAATTTTACAGTGCACACAGGATCCTGCACCCAACAGTATGTTTACCGCATCTGATGTCACTGTTAGGAAAGAAAAAATAAGGCTGCAATACCAAGCGTGAACACAAAGCTGCATCAGTCTTTTTAAGATTGTTATTTTTAGCCAACATCTTATAAATGGCACTCCCGGTCGCCACCACACCACCGACTACACCAATCCCAGTTCCCATTACACTGCCTATAACACCAGAGGCACCAAACGTGAATGTGGCAGTCATGATCCCAACGAAAGCCACGATTGCACCAAAAAGGCTGGTGGCTGTGCCCACTGTCTGAGTGATGGTGACATTTTTCTCCAGCTTGGCCAGCACATCTGCAATCCTCCGCAGCTCCTGTATGCTCTCTAACCTTTTGCCCTTCCAAATATTAAATTCAACCATAAATTTGAGTTGGTCTTAGATGTATAGGGTTTTTGCATCCTGCTGTCCAACGATATCTGGAAAGCACAGTGTGTGTAATGGATAACAAAACAAGGTTAGCTTTGTTTTGTTGATTTCACATTCCTGATGTGGAGGCACACGCTTGCAACCCAGAATATTGGAGGCCAGGGTTGGCATAATCTTCGTGCGATTTAGAAGCCCAATGGGCTGCAACATGGCCAGGAAATAGAAATACAGCAAGTGCGTCACTCACCTCTCTCTGCAGATGCCCTTATATCCACGTTTTCCCCCTCTGGTTTCCTCCCACATGCAAAACTACTGATTTGGCCTCACATAATGCAGAACACAGATGTCTGTAGGCTAATGTATAGCTCTAAATATTTTACAATCTTAAGATGTGGTCTAACAAGGACTGAATGCTGATGTACAGATGCCTACCTAAAACCTGACTCCCACCACCACCCATCCCAGAAGAATTCCCTCATCAAAACTCTACACCATAGAGCTCCATGTATTTCCGACCATCACCACCTAGCCAGTGAACTGGAGCACGTACACCAAGCTCTCAAGATGAATGGATATTCAGACCACACAATCCGTAAAGCTATCACCCCAACCATTGGGAAATAACCATCTGAGGACCCAATCAAAACCATCACCTTGCCATACATAGCAGGGGTCACTAAAAATATTTCCAAAATCATGAGCAAACACAAGATCCAGGCTCGATTTAACACAGTACATAAAATTAATGATCTGATCCCATCTGTGAAGGATGTGATCCTTGACATGCAATACCCCGGTGTCTACAAACTAAGTTGTGTCTGCGACAGTAATTACATTGGGGGAACTAAGCGACATGTCTCGGACCATGTTCGTGAACATAAGGCAGATCTGAAACACGGTAGGACCAATACCTCGGCCGTGGCTGATCATTGTTTTAATGCGGTGGGCTCACATGAAATTGATTTCTCTAAGACGAAAGTACTTTGCAAGCCCACTGGCTATCAACAAAGATGCGTTCATGAAGCCGTCCATATATATAGACACAGACACAATTTCAACCGAGAAGATGGGTATAAACTGAGCAATCATGGGAAGGACGTTATTAACCAGTTTAAGTCATGTTAGTAGTTATTTTTGACTTTCTGGTTTTACATTAACAGGTTAAATGTCTCACACTAACACAGCCACCGTCGCTCGTGTTCTCGATGTGGTGGTGGCTCTGTGATCTTGCATTGACATGCTAATCTCTCACAACACAATGGCCATCTCCGCGCCTTCGTCGTCGTGGAGGTAGCTCTCCGACTTTACATTTACATGCAAATTTCTCACTTTGACACCACTAGCCCTGCCCACTTCGTTTATGACCCTTGGACTAAACCCATTTCAAACCTTTAAAACAGCCTGCCTCAGCAGCTTTCCCGCTCTTTTTTCTCCTGATGACGATTGCTTGTGTTGCGATCGAAACGTCGTAGTTTTAAAAAATGTTGTTATTTTATTTGAACCTATCTATGTGACTTTACCGAAAGACCAAATAATATAAATTCCTGCAGCCACGAAAGCTTTAAAAAATATTTCATTTATGGACACTTTTCGATGACTAAAATGGAATTTCTGCGTTTATAGAAAATTTCAACGTGATCAATCCACCATAACGTCACAGTGTTCCTACAAGGGCAACGGTTAAAAGGTTAATTATTTTTCCTTTAAATTAATTATGAAAACGTTTTAATATTCATGTTCTTCATCATTATTATTGTGCCCACTAATTAGAATGGAAAATGAGTCTGTGAATAAAAGTAACATTTAATAGAAATATGGTTTTACCATCCATCTTCATGGAGACCCACTAGCTTGAGGTCTTCACTGCGTGCGCCTGTCAGCAATGCCGTCTGGAAGCAAATATGTAAAATAAACCTTTGCGAAAGATAAGGAACTGAAAATGTTTTCTTTAAAATATATTTTGTACATTGCAATGTGTAAGAGATAAATACCAATGTTGAGGTCTGCTAACCGAGGTATACCACTAAGTTTGTTATACATCTATTTTTGGCCCAAAGTTGCTTAAAATGTGTTAACTTCATATTGTAAAAAATTACATTTGAATTGTGGAATATCTATCATGTATATATAACAATTATTGATTTGTAATTGTCAAAAAAGTGTGGGTGTCTTAAAATACCACCTTGAGAAATACCATCACCTCATTCCATATATACTGTATTTCAAGGGGCTTCTACCCCTCCAGAATGCACATTACGACACTGGAATCGCACCTTATCCAGCATGCCGATAACTTTAAATATCTAGGTGTTATCCTGGATTATAGACTGTGTTTTAAGACCCATATTGATCACATGGCCAATAAAATAAGAACATGATTGTTTACAAAAACAAACACTTTATTCCACCTTGACTCTGAATATAGTTAATTCCACCATCCTAACCATATTTGATTACTGTGACACCATCAACCGTCCAGCTTCCGAATCTTCCTTAAAACGTCTCGTTCCATTGTCTCACTGTGCTCTCCGTGTTGCCTTTGACGCCCCCTATAGAACTCATCATTGCAACCTGTACATTAACTCAAATTTGCCCCCCCCCCCCCGGATACCATCACTGGGCTGTCTTCATCCCAAAGCTTCTCTTAAATCTGTGACTTACCTAAAGGACGACGTATTTCCTCTACATCACTCTGGTAGCATCAAAAGTGTCTCCTTAATTCCTGTAAAAAAATAACGTTAAAACTTTAGTCAAATGTATTTCCGTATTGCTGCTGCATATTTTTGGAATACCCTTCGGCTCATCTACAGATTGGATCCCTCCCTTCACTCCCCCTCTTTATGTCCTTATGAAACCAAAACACAGAGCTTATTTGCACATTAACCTAATCTTTTATGGCACCTTTTGCTATCACCTTTGCATTTTCTTTTTAATCTCATTTCATTTACGACCTTTACATAACTAATTTGATCAAAATTCCTGAAGGAACCTATACTTGTTTTTTTTTTCAATATAGTTTTTGTCTTTTATCTCTCGTTACTTTGCTCATGCACCACGGATTCCCCTTGTAAGATAGCCGACCAACTGACTAAAAGGGACCATCCATCTTCTTGGTTCTTTCGGTAAAGTCACGTAGAATGGAAATAATAAAATAATAAAAATAAAACATAATAAAATAATTCTCACGACGGTTCGGCCACAACGCAAGCCGTCCTCAGCTGAAGAACAGGTCTGTCGAGAAGACAGAGTCTGAATGACAACCCCAGGCTTGGAGAGTCTTTTTTAAGCTGGGTTGGGGGGGGAGAGCGCCTTGACAAAATAATTTGCACATCAAGAGGAATTTAGCATTAATTCTAGATTTGAAGCTTTCATGACTGCAAAGATTCATATTCTTAGGTTTTTTCGGTTAAGTCACGTAAGTAAAACATCAAAATAAAAATAAAATAAAAATAAAAATTCACGACGTTTCGGAGGCAACACAAGTCTCCGTCATCAGGTGGGACCGTCACAGCCGGATTAGCTGCATCAAGTGAGGCAATGATTCAAGATGTAATCCCTTAAAAAGGCAAGTTGAGGGGGAGGAGAGGGGGGGGGCTCATCAGAATGTGGTAGCCAATGAATGGAACGCATCGGGAGGGGGAGGGGGGGGGGGCGGGGCCAAAAGACTGCACGTCGGCGTGGACGCTGTTGGTGTTGCACAACGCAACGGGAGGGGGAGGAGGGGGCGGGGCCAAAGAATGCACGATGGCATGGGTGCTGTTGGTGTTGCACAACGCCAACGCATTAGAGAGAGAGGGGGAGGCCTGATACACATGATAGAAAAAAAGAACGAAAATGCCCATGTTTATACCAATTCTGGCTGAACAATGAAGAGAGTACTGTTAAACACTGGGGATGTTAACACTCGGTAAAGTAAAGTAAGATAGTGCCTGTCAGATAAGATGGTCCAAAAAAGTGTAATTAAGTCTTTTTTGCGTGGTTGATAACATCTTTCCAATGATTACTAAGTTTGTACCCCTCATCACGGTTGAAATTATGTCTGTGTTTGTATATTTGTATGGCTTCGTGTACAAACCTTTGATGGTAGCCGGGAGGTTTGTAGAGAACCTTGGTCTCGGAAAAGAAAGTGTACAAACCTTTGATGGTAGCCGGGAGGTTTGCAGAGAACCTTGGTCTCGGAAAAGAAAGTCTTTTCCGAGACCAAGGCTACCACATTCTGATGAGCCCCCCCCTCTCCTCCCCCTCAACTTCCCTTTTTAAGGGATTACATCTTGAATCATTGCCTCACTTGATGCAGCTAATCCGGCTGTGACGGTCCCACCTGATGACGGAGACTTGTGTTGCCTCCGAAACGTCGTGAATTTTTTGTTTTACTTACGTGACTTAACCGAAAAAACCTAAGAATAGGAATTTAGCATATTTATGATGTAAGAGAATAAAGTTTAGCTGGAAGCATATTATATTTTTTGTGACGTAGAATTGTAATGTATTACTTACTGTTAGTAGCTCAGCTTATTGAAGAGTATATTTAGTATACTGATGATACTATGTAGTTTATACTTCAGTTGTTCACGTGTTGGTTTAGTTACTGCAGATACATACTATTAACATTCCTTCTCTTTATTAATGCTACCCCCACCCCCTCCCTTTGATGCTGCTAATCCTGCATAATGCACGGGCATAATGACTTTAAACCCCTCGCCAAACCTCCTACGCATTTCACAAGTAGTACTAATCGCATATCTGCATTTCTCATAAATATGCTAAATTCCTATTGATATGCAAATTCTTTTGTCAAGGCGCTCCCCCCCCCCCCCAATCCAGCTTAAAAAAAGACTCTCCAAGCCTGGGGTTGTCATTCAGACTCTGTCTTCTCGACAGACCTGTTCTTCAGCTGAGGACGGCTGCTTGCGTTGTGACCGAAACGTCGTGAGAATTATTTTATTATGTTTAATTTTTATTACTTTATTATTTCCATTCTACGTGACTATACCGAAAGAACCAAGAAGATGAATCCCTGCAGTCACGAAAGCTTTAAATCGAAAGGGACCATCCATGTCACAAATCACATGAACTCAAATAGGGATATCTGGTTGCTATTGGCAGCCAAATATCACAGGGGGAAAAACATATAAAATAGATTATTAAAACAATGACTATTCTATCATCACTGCTATCTTCACCACCACTATAATTTTATCAAGCCAATGCTTATTTTAATGATAAACTGCCCATTCCGCTCCACACTCACAATAAAACACAATACACTCGTACACATTTAGCAATTTTATTCATAAGCCACTTACTGTGTGGTACGTGAAATAATTATGCTTGGAAACCTTGAAGAAGCCTCTCCCTTTAGACACTCTTTAGCACACGGCCTCCGAGAATCAACACCATCTACTAACTTCACAGGCAGGAACGGGCAGGTGACGGAGCAGTCAAGTTTTCCGCATGAAATTTCAAGCATCAACAACGCACAAAAGGGTGAGCACATTTCTTAAATAGCCAGAGCTTGGTTCCCACATTGGCCAAATTTCTGAGATGCCTAATTTACCTGGGCATATCTGGTGGCCACATGATTGGTCGCCAGTCTGATGTCACTTTACCCCACCTCTTTTACCGCTCTTCATCAGGGTGAGCTGAAATCATTGTTTGCAAGAAGGGTAGCGTTCCTAGCGTTCCTGCTATTTTTGTTGACAAGATTAAAGAGATTTGACATCTTAAAATACTCTGTGTAAATTCCACCAACTCATCCTGTAGGTGTTTTGTTCTGTTTGCTGACAAAAGGTCATAAGGATGAATGTAAAAAGAGATGTGAAACTGAAGATTCAATAAACAGAACTCTTTAAATCAGGGGTCCTCAAACTTTTTAAACAGGGGGCCAGTTCACTGTCCCTCAGACCGTTGGAGGGCCGGACTATAGTTAAAAAAACTATGAACAAATTCCTATGCACACTGCATATATCTTATTTTGAAGTGAAAAAACAAAACGGGAACAAATACAATATTTAAAATGAAGAACAAGTAAAGTTAAATCAACAAACTTGCCAGTAAAGTTAAATCAACAAACTTGCCAGTGGTTCAATGGGAACTATGGGCCTGCTTTTGGCTAATGAGATGGTCAATGTCCGGTTCCATATTTGTCACTGCTAGTCGTAACAAGTGATGCATGTGTGCATCCGTTAGTCTAGATCTGGTTGGAGATTTCAAATGTTTCATTCTGGAAAAAGTCTGTTCACAGACATAAGTGCTGCCAAAGATGGTTGCCATTTTGAGTGCATGGTTCCTGAGATGAGGATATGTCTCAGAGGGGAGAGATGCATAGAAATTATGAAGGCTGCTTGACTTGAATGCGTCTTTCAGAGAGTCACAATTCTGCAGTTCAGCCAGTTCCATTTGGTAAATTGTATCCACATTTTCAATGTCAATAGAAAATGGGTTACGGAAAAGCTGTATCTCCTGTTCATGGAGATGAAGCTCTTTAAATCTAAATTGGAACTCCTTTTGCAATTTTTCCAGTGAATCCACACATGTTTTGTTTGGGAATGCAACCAATGGTTTTTCCGCTAACAGATTTTTAGTTGTGGGGAGATGGCAGAAGTTTTCCTCCTTCACTTGTTTGATGAGGAGGCCTAATTTTACTTCAAATGCTTTGACATGTGATTGCATATCACAGATGAGCTTCCCCTTTCCTTGAAGTTGCGCATTGAAACTGTTGAGTAGCTCTGTTACATCTGTCAGAAAGGCAAGGTGCCATTTCCATTCTGCATCATTGAGCTCTGATACTTCTTTGTTTTTTGAAAGCAGAAAAGCTGTAATCTGTGGAAGTAAGTCATAGAAACGTTTCAAAACTCTCCCTGGACTCAGCCAACGGACTTCTGTGTGGTACAGAACATCTTTATAGTCAACATTTAGCTCAGACAGAAATTCCTGAAATTGTCTGTGGTTTAGTGCATGAGCTCTAATGAAGTTTTTCATAACAGAGTCCCACTTCAGTGATTTACTACACAGCAGAGGTGTGGACTCGAGTCATGTGACTTGGACTCGAGTCAGACTCGAGTCATGAATTTGATGACTTCAGACTCGACTTGGACTTGCATAACAATGACTTTGTCCCACCTCTGAGGTGTGGACTCGAGTCATGTGACTTGGACTCGAGTCAGACTCGAGTCATGAATTTGATGACTTCAGACTCGACTTGGACTTGCATAACAATGACTTTGTCCCACCTCTGCTACACAGCGCTTGTTGGTGGATGAGGCAGTGTATGGCTATTGGATGAAAATGGTTATGTTTGTCCATCTCTTGGTTAATGCGAGCAATTACTCCTTTCTTAGACCCCACCATGCTAGGAGCACCATCAGTTGTCACACTGGCTAGTTTAGCTCAGTTCAGCTCCAAACCATTCACAGTTTGGCAAACCTTTTCATAGATATCCTCTCCTGTAGTTGTTCCTTTGATGCTTTTCAGTGCAGTTTTGCAAATGCTGATGCAAATTGTCTCCTATTTCTTCAATCCTCCGTGTAATTGTAGGTCCTGAAAGACTCACTGTACTAAATAAATCGGCCTTCTCTGGACACATCTCTTTGGCAACAGAAATAAGGCATTCTTTAACAAATTCTCCCTCCACGAATGGTCTGCCAGTGCACGCTATTAGCTTGGCAACTTGAAAACTTGCTCGCAGTGATGAAATATTTAGCTGCTTCTGCTTCACAAAAGTATTTTGCTGAGTTGTTAATGTATTTTTCAGTTTTAATATTTTATCTTTTCTCACTTCTCCGACCAAACAATCATATTTATCTTTATGTTGAGTTTCATAGTGTCGACGTAAATTGTATTCTTTGAACACAGACACTATATTCTGGCATATCAGACACACAGCTCTTTCCTTGTACTGCATGAAAAAGTAATCATAAGTCCACTGTTCTTTGAATATCCTACACTCCGAGTCAATTTTTCTATTTCTTGACATCATTGTTTCCTAGGGAGTCAAAATTGCTATTAGTAAAATACCAATATATATACAGCGCTACAAAAACAATATACCAGCAATAACTTTGCCCACACAGAGACATACAGACTGCACTGCCCATCAATGCAGTCTGATTGGGGGAACTCCGCTTTTACCCCAGGCTCACACTGGTGCGGGTGCCATTAAAAAGTTAATTACACCTGCAGTTTTGTTCACAGATCGCAGTGCGATCTGCGAACTCGCATAGGAATCTGATCGCATGGGGGAGAAGACCCATGCGATCCGATTCCACTGCAGGAAAAAAGAAGGCACATGTGCCTTTTTTCTTCCGAATCTAATGCAAGTTCAGCCATACAAGCATATGGCTGAACTCGCACTGCTCAGAGATCGCAACAGTATGAACCGGGGCTTACACAACATACAACATATAACCTCATACAACTGAATAGCAATCAGAATATAAATGCACTGTCATTTAAATTGGGTTTCCTACTCCTCGGCTGTCTGTCACTGACCAGCACGGGAAAACAGCAGGCAGCCCCTCCAGAGATCAGAGATCACTCTGTTATTACCCCTCTATCATTTACTCAGCGGTGCGTGTGCTGGGGATCTACATCCCCAGCACACAGGAATATCACTGGGAGTGGAGCCGAGGGGCAAGTGAGGGAGCTGAGGAAGGGACAGCCAGTCAAACGCAGCCAGGGGAGGGCTGGCAGCCTTAGGCCTGGCGGGCAAGTCCAGTCAATTGGCCCATTGAACCATTCACCAGCGCAGCCCAATGAGTGCCCACCGCCGCAGCTCAATCAGTGCTCACCAGCGCAGCCCAATCAGTGCTCACCACCGCAGCCCAATCAGTGCCCACCACCGCAGCCCAATGAGTGATCACCAGCGCAGCCCAATTAGTGCTCACCAGCGCAGCCCAATTAGTGACCATGGGCCGGATAAATGTCCTCGGCGGGCCGCATGTGGCTCGCGGGTCGTAGTTTGAGGACCCCTGCACTAGTACATCAGCAGCTGCTATGATCTGACACTTCTGGCTGATTAGCCATACTTCACAAAGCTGGTCAGTGCACTGTGGTGTTGTATATATAGGCCTTTTTCCAAATTGTATATTAAGAATGATTCTGCCTATTTTTTTTTTGTAATAATCAATCGGGGTGAGCATGGGGCATGAAACAGTGAGGCACACCCCCACCCCTCACACCCCAGCTGCCTTGCCACATAAAATAATTGAAGGGAGGTCATAAAAAGTAATTAAATAATAAACCCCTGATATAACAGGCTAAAATAACCCTTGCCCCGATTAAACCCAGGCGAGAGTATACCCGGGGGGATAAAGTGTCTTAGGCTAAACTATACCCGGGGGTTTAAACTAGACTGGGCAAGACCATACCCCTCCAGACCAGAATATGCCCCATGTGAAAGTTGAAAGGCAATTATCCACACAGAGAACAGCCGACAACGAACTTCAATCGATATCTAAAAAGCGTATAAATGGAAGTAAGAATCTCAATTTGATCAATTGAAGCATTTTTAGGGTTAGGGTTATTATTAAAGTTTTTCTGGTTGAAGCAATCAAAGTCTATGTGTTTACAGTTTTAAATAAAATGTTGGAAAATTTTTGTAATTCATGTGTATATCGCTCACCACTATTACTATCATGGGGGTATGATTTGGCCTAGAGGGACATAATTTGGCCTAGGCCATAATATTCCCGGGTATAATCTAGCCTAGGCCGTTTTAGCCCCGGGTATACTACGGCTTGTGGGTATACTACAGCCTGTTACACCGGGACAAAGGGAAGTTAATGACAATCTGGGAAATCTCCACGGGGCGGGGGACCATGGGACACACCTCCACGGATGTTTTGGACAGTTTCACAAACAAATCTCCAGACTCGCTGGCACGGGAGGAACAGCCTGTTCTCAAATCGAAACTTGCTGACACGGTCGGATTACAAAAATAGGGTAGCGGGAGAATCGGAGGTAGTGGGCAGGGGCAAGAATCCAGCCCAGGCCCCTCTACCCTCACCAAGATTGCCAGTTGAAGCCTGAGTGCTGGCCTCCCAACTGAAGATCAGTGGGGCAGATGTGCTGTGCAGACATGGAATCGGTGGACTATCTGTGTGTGTGTGTTAGGATTGCGTAGGGCCATAGTCGTGAGTGATGTTCTGACCTTGCGCCTTATGCACGTGGCTTTGTGGTTGTATTTCTCAGGGTATGTGGCTCGATTTGAGGTGCTGCTCCAATCTCCCTTTATGCGTGTCATTGTATGCATTTGCAGTGGCATGTCATGATCTCGATTTAAAGCTTTCGTGACTGCAGGGATTCATCTTCTTGGTTCTTTCGGTAAAGTCACGTAGAAAGGAAATAAAAAAATAAAAAAATACAACATGATAAAATACAATTCTCACGACGTTTCAGCCACAACGCAAGCAGCCGTCCTCAGGTGACGAACAGGACGCTGTCTTTCCGACAGACCTGTTCGTCA